GCATACATCCATCATAGCCCTCATTATCCTGCATTATGATTACTGGTTCACTTATCTCTCTGCCTCACTTGATAAGTTCCGTGAGGACAAAGACTATATTTTTTCATTTCTCTGTCTTCACTACTGGCACTTTATTAGACACTAAGTTAATTAGAAAATGAATAAATGAACAAAGGAATCAGTAAATGAAAGATGCACTCCCAGTGTAGCAAACAAAAAATACAGATAATGAAGAGAAGGATAAATAGATAGATGGTAGCCAGAAAGGAAGACAAATATACATACACCCAAGAAAGATCAATACTGTATGTTTGTGAATTGTATTGTTACAAATAATACATTATTTCTGGTTGTTTAATGTACTAAACATTATAAATGAATATTGTGCCACCACAAGGATGGCAGTCAAATGTCCAGGAAGCCACACAGGGAATGCAGAGAAGTAAAACAGCCGGAATAGACCCTGGGACAAATGGAATATTTCTGAGGCCATATTCAGCTAGGGGAAGACCATTTAATAACTCTGTATCAATGCAGCCTGTCTTTTGACCTGTTTTCTAGTACAGATAATAGATTTATATTGATTCATCTTGTTTATCCTCAATTTTTTGGCTATGGGACATATGTATATAGATTGCCCCAATTATAATTGACTTCATTTGTTTTGTGCCCAGAGCAAATTCAGATAAATCATTTATTATGATAATTTCATTTATTTAAATATCTGTATTAGATACTGTTCAGTTCTTGCATATAGTATAGCTCTATAAGTATGAGCAGTATTCTGAACAGAATTACCCAATTTGCCTTTGCTTTTTAAAAAATGTTATATGATTAAAATTGATTTTTTTCCTTTCCCATTAGCCTGAGGATTATAATTCTGTACTAATATTCACTTTAGCCATATTTTTTGTTCTCAGTATTAAAATTGGAGAAGTTCTAAACATATTTTTAGAGCAATAAAAAGAAAGATGTTATTTACAATTTCAAAATAATGAAAGACTATTTAAACTTTGCTCTAAAAACAATTTTTTTCTTTATTACTTAACTAGAGGCTCAGTGCACGACATTCATGCACTGGAGGGGGGTCCCTCAGCTCGGCCTGTGCCCTCTCGCAGTCCAGGACCCCTTGGGGAATGTCCACCTGCCGGTTGCAGTCGTACATTCCCTGAGGGGTCCTTAGCGTGCCATGGACGCGGGAAAGGTTCCCGCCACTGCTACTGCAGTCACCAGCCATGAGCCCGGCTTATGGCTGAGCGGTGCTCCCCCTGTGGGAGTGCACTGACCACCAGGGGGCAGCTCCTGCGTTGAGCATCTGCCCCCTGGTGGTCAGTGCATTTGGTCAATTTGCATATTAGGGTTTTATTATATAGGATATCCTATTTTGATATTTATTTGTAATATTGTAAATTATTTTTTTATTTTGCTTTGACAGTACAGTGTTTCAACTTCCTACTGTAAGCATAAATTCATTCCAGAATTTAAAAACCCTTTATTTCTTTAAGAATAAATATAGCTTTATTTCTTACCCTGCTCTGCCCTCTGGGCAGCAATGGGGACATCCACTTGACATGCAAGGGAGTGTCTAATAGACAATGCTGTTTCCTAAGACCTCTTGATCTTATGTCCACTGTCCCCAAAGTATACGGCCGAGTTCCTTCCTGCTGTAATTTCAGTGCATTGTTTCCTAGGCATATTTTGGTGGTGAAGCTCGCTGTGATGCTGAGGCTGGACAAGGGGATGACTATGATCCCAGAGAGCTCATTTGTGGTGCTTGTTCTGATGTGTCCCGAGCTCAGGTGGGTAGACCATTTTATTAGAAATGACAATTTAGAAACATTAAACCTCTAATTTTTTTAAAATAATAATATAACCAGTATTGTAGAAATGGCATAGCAGGTTTTCCCACCAACGTTTTCTGGTGTTTGTACAGCAATGTATAATTTTCCCACTTATTCATATATATTATCTATTTTGGATGGGATTTGCATTTTATACTTTTGTCTCCCATAAAATAATTACCAGATTTCACACTTCTAGATTTTCTCCTCTTCAATGAAATCTTCATAGTACATCTATGAGATTGATAGGTAAATGAAATATTAATTTTTTAACTTGGCTGACCAGGAAACATTCACAAGGAAATTAAGAGGCTAGCTTATAAATCAAATTAGTTATGATGGAGCTGGGATTAGAACTTGAAGCTTGTCCAGATCTTTTGGGCAAAGCCACACATTTATTCATTATTTTTTTAATGTGGTATCATCAATTTTTCAATCAGTTTTTAGAGTTGTGTATACTCTCAAAATATGAATCTCTGAGTTATATATATTACTACCTTAAGTATAATGAAATAGGTTCACTATAATCTTTGTCTGTTTTCTTTTGCTATAGATGTGTCCGAAACATGGCACAGACTTTTTGGAATATAAGTGTCGCTACTGCTGTTCAGTGGCTGTCTTTTTCTGTTTTGGAACAACACATTTTTGTAATGCTTGTCATGATGATTTTCAAAGGATGACTAGCATTCCTAAGGAAGAACTACCACACTGTCCTGCAGGTATGCTTTTAGTTTTTTAAATATGATTATGGTATCCAGTTTTATTAATGACTAAAGGCCCGGTGCACGAAAATTCATGCGCTGGAGGAGGGTTCCCTCTCCTCCAGTGATTGCACTGGAGGCGACCCGGCGATCAGGGGAAGGCAATGCCCCATCACACCTCTGCTGCTGCCACTGCCGGCAGCGCAAGCCTTGGCTGGCCCTGGTTACCTGAGCCTTGGGCGGCCCTGGGCAGCTGGGCAGCTGCCATCCGAGGCTCACCTGCGCCTCGGGCCAGCCCTAGGGGGCTGGGGGCCTGAGTGGACTGGGGGTCTCCGGGGCGGCAGGCACGCAGCAAGTGGCAGAAACCTAGTTGACACTATCCTGAAGAATCCAAGGGGTTCCTTGGCTCTATGAACTTCTGACCTTCTGAGTGAAGTAAAACGATCCTCATCACAAGTGAGGTTGGGAGCTATAGTGGAGCAGATTGCTTGGAGGATGAGAAGGAAGTCAACTAAAGATTAGTAAAAGGATTGCTGTTTGGCACGAAAGGGCCATGTGACGTTTGAAATTATAATGGGTAAAAGAACCATTTAAAGGGATTTTGTGATTTTTTTTTTTAAGAAGCCTGGAACAGGCACCATAAAATGGACAACTGATTTAATCTAGAATGACTGGGAACTGGCAGTAGTGAGTATCAGACAGCCAAGGGAATTAAAGAAGCTACTGAAAATACAGGGAAAATGATTATCTGTGCAGATCAGGCTGAGAAAAGTCAATATGAAACTAAAAAGAGACTGAAAGTTTGGAAGAGGTCAGGAGGCTGGTGCTCACTGTGAGGTGGAATAAGAGGCTTAATGTAGTGGGAGAAGTGGAAGAAGAGGTAAATGTGACCATAGAAGAGAATTTTGCATGAGATGTATCTGAAATTAGGGAAAATGCATACAGAACTACGTACACCACAATAGACAATGTTGTTAAATCTGGGAAACACACACTTTCATCCATTGCTTATCAGAGTGCAAATGGTAGACCCTGAGGTGCCTCTCAAAATTTCAAATTCATCTACCCTTCACCAATCCCACTTCTGGGGGACATACCTACATATGTGAAGAAAAGAAACAAGGAAAAATGTGCAAGGTTATGCACTGCAGCATTGCTTGTAATGATAAAAATTCATAAATGATACAAGTATCCACTAGGGGGGGTGATTAAACACTAATATGCACCATTAAAAAAAGACTGAGGATGGAGTTTCTATGTACTGATATGGAAAGATCTATAGAAGAAAGTATTAAATGAAAAATTAAATTTTAAAAAGTATATATAGTATGCTGCCTTTGTAAGAAAGGAAAAATTTAGATATATATATATATGTTTATATTTGCATAAAAACACTGGAAAGCTATACAAAAAATTAATAAGATTGGTTAATACTGGGGAAAACAGGGAAGATGGGAGAGAAATCGGGGAAGAGGTGACTTCTTACTGATTTTTAAACCATGAGAGATAAAGATGATAAGGTAAAGAGGGTTTTTAAAGTAAGGCTACTTTTTGCTACTTGCTCATGTCTAATAAAAATTGTTACACTGTTCCACCTCTAAAAACCTTTTGAAAAAATAGAAGTGGTGGACTTTAAAAGAAGCAAGATCAGAATAATGTGAGGCTAGAGTGTTTAGGATAATAGCCAGAATAGAGACATGAGCCATCATTAGTAGGACGGAGGTCTGGAAGTGAAGGGAGTGAAAGGGGGCAGGCAGTGTTCTCTCTCATTTGAGCTTGAAAGGAAGAGGGTTATTGAATGAAAGTTGTACGTTAGTGGTCTGGAAATAAAGGAACCAGAAAAGTCAATCTTGCTTCTTGCCCTTATGACATGCTAGAACTGGGGAGATAAAGAATTTTTAAAATACTAAAAACAAAAAGGAAGTTTGTTAGTCTTGAAACAGGTGTTGCAGAGAACACAGTGGCAGGTAGTCACTGAGAGAAGGAGGATGGGCCAGGCAAAGGCAAAGCCTCCAGTCAAACATGCACGTGATCATCCAGTCAGCCAAGAAAAAGGACTTTGCCCTATAAACAATTGTGAATCACAGGAATGAGGCAGGAGAGGTGGTAGAAGGAAGAAACTGACATTGATCCTGGGCATTTTCACATGTATTTTCTCGCCTAATTTTTACAGCCTACCAGGTAGATAGTATTATCCCCCACATTCACAAATGGAAAATCAAGGCCTAGAGAGGTTAAATACCTGGCCTAAGATCATACACTTAGATTAAGGTATGCTTTTCCTGTCTCTCATATTCCGCTCACTCATCCATTCATTTAGAGAACTGTAGATAATTAAAGGAGAACTGACAGTGAAATTAGGGGAAATGGTTGTGCAGTTTACTTAGAAAGACAGAAGGATCAATTCTCTAACCACTGTCAACCATTAATTTTAATTAATATGTAGATGAAAACAAGAGTCTGTTTAAGAAGTTAAATAACCCCTCTGTCCATTCCTTTCTAAACTATTTACTGATAACCTTCTTTGGTTCCAGGATACTTGTGCACATGAGCAAAACAAGTCTTTTAAATAATAGAAAAATAGGGGGTTTTTTTGTCCATTTTTAAGCCTACTTTATTTGATTACCTACAAATGTATCTTTCCCAAAGTGTTGCTTCCATATTATCATTCATATTTTAGGCTGATTAATTTTTATTTGCCTATAATCTCCCTCCCATATACTTTTCAAAAGAACACTGATAATGTCTTCCCATTTTACCAATGTATGCCTTTTTTTCAGAGAAAATGGAAGGGTAGCATGACTTATTTACACTAAAATTTGTTTTTACCTGAAAAATATCCTATATAATAAACTCTAATATCCTATATAATAAAACCCTAATATGCAAATCGACTGAACGGCAGAATGACCAGTGAAACGACCAGTCACTATGATGCATATTGACCACCAAGGGGCAGACACTCAATTGAGTGTTGAGTATCTGCCCCCAACAGGGAGGCGACCAGTGGCAGTGTTGGATCGGGGGGGGGGAGGGGCGGGGGAACGGGGCCGGCCAGCAGACAGCGCCAGGCCGCCAGCCAAGGTGGGTCCAGCAGGGGCCCCCCCAATCACCCTGCCCACCAGTTGCCCCACAGGTGGCCCTGATCACCAGCCAGGCCTAGGGACCCTACCTTATATATTGGGAACAGTCTCTTAGATTTAAAAATTAAAACCTGGCAAGGCTACTCTAACCCTGAAAAAAACAGGATGATGCAGCGATGACCTGCATAGACTGGCTTGCACATTTTGAGGTCAGCCCTGACTCTGATACTTATAACTATGTGACAAAGCCAATTGCTTAACTTCTCTCTGCTTCAGTTTTTCCACCCATAAGATGGGGAAAATGGTACTACTGCCTCAGAAGGATCATGTTATGTACTACTTTTTATAACCAGGGCAAAAAAATGTAGCTGCCCATACAACAACAAGATGCCTTTCACCTGTATGAAAAGTACTAGTATGGTCACTGGTGCATGCAGCGTCCCGGATTGTGAGAGGGATGTCCGACTGCCGGTTTAGGCCCGACATCCCCCAAGGGGTCCCGGATTGCAAGAGGATGCAGGCCAGGCTGAGGGGACGCCCCCCCCCAACTCCCGTGCACAGATTTCGTGTACCGGGCCTCTAGTTTTATATAAAAATCTGTATTTTCTCATCCAGAATAATTTCCTGCTAGACTAAATTGAGGAATTTTTGTGACCATTTTTGTTCATTGCTCTGCTTTAAAATGATGAACCAAATTCATCATTAGTGTTTATCTCTAGTCAGGATGCTGTGGTTAAGGGACCATGTCCCTTCTTTGACATATGTATCTGGTATGTTGAGTTTTTTATGGGGAACATTTTTACTTTGTGGTTAGAAAACAAATAATTTTGTTATTTTATATTTGCATAATCATTGTCATATTTCTCTGAATAACTTAGCAGTGACTTATATTTATATTAGGTTTATGTGAATATATTTTAATTATATTCTTTTGCCTCCTTCAAAACTTATACAGGTCCCAAAGGCAAACAATTAGAAGGAACTGAATGTCCACTCCATGTTGTTCATCCACCTACTGGGGAAGAATTTGCTCTGGGTTGTGGAGTGTGCAGAAATGCTCACACTTTTTAAAATACTCAGATTCCTTTGTCTGTGGATAGAAAAGTTGCCTTCATCCCCCAAGCAGATGTGGTGAAGTTTAAACTGCTCAGGATAAGGACGGGACCATTTTTACATCCATGAAAATGAACCATTCACACACAGTGCAAGAAGGATGCCAAATACCATGTACATAATTCTTGCTATGGAAAATTTCCCCATTAGTTTGATTTCTTTTCTTTTGAGCCAAGACATCAAACTTGTGAGGTGTTTGCATGTGGCCATTACCGTCATTGGCCTGTGAAGCATTGGACATTTATAGATAATCGATACAGAAAGAATCTCCATGCTCAAGGACTAAGAATGATGTTGGCTTCCAAGCAAAAAAGAAAAATAATCATTGTTTATTGTATACTGCCTTTTTGTAATCCTGTACAATTGCATCACGGGTGGGGATAAAAAGAAGAATATTCTGGTTTATTTCCTAGACTGTTATTTAAATAAAAATTGTGTTAGGATGGCATATAAATGTAATAAGTATCACAGTGTAAATAAAGATATCAATGTTTGTCCTCTATAATAATTACTAAATTACAAATGCAGTTTCATTTAAACTTCTAGGTTAAGTTTGAGCCTGAAATTTTAATGAAGTGCAATACTGAGTGTGCCTCATTATCTTGCAGCTGTAAACATATTGGAATGTACATGTCAATAAACCACTGTACATTTTTATACAGTGATAAAGCATAAAGATTGTGTAAACTATTGCTTGAAAAACAAAATTTAAATATCTTTAAGGTCTAAAACTCCATCCAATTTTCCTTGGAAAAAAAGTTATTAACACAGCACAATCATAGCGTGTATAACTATTGCGGAAAATAAGAGTAGTAATGAAGTACAATGTTGGATCTTAATTGAACACTGGGTAGAAGATATATGTGTTTAGGAAATTGACCCTCTACCTTATTAATCAGTACCTTTTAGAACTTTCGAAAGAGTAATCAACAAAAGGTCCCGTGTCTAAATAAGATGCATCTGAACCATCACTATAAAAGAAATAATGCTTTTTAAAAAATACATATTTCAAGAGAAGATTATACAAACATTTTTCCTTTGTAGTGTATAACAGTGCCTTAACGTTGCAAGCAATTTCTAATTGCCCAAAGTGTGTGAAAGCAAGAGTAATTTGTTGTCACTTAGAGCACTATGGTGGTCCCAAGCCAAGCTGAAAGCATTGCGGGCAGAACTCGTTCAAGTCCAGCCTCTAGATTACTTTGGGTTAATATTTTGTGGAAAAAAAACCCTGATACCTGAAGCTGAAAAGGGTCCTAAAGGTATTCACATGTTTATATTCTCTCACATTTTTGTTTTTTTTTCATCTTTTTTTCAATTACAGTTGGCATACAATATTATAGTTTCAAGTGTACACCTCAGTGATTAGACATTATAAAACTTACTAAGTGATCATCCTGAAAAATCTCATACCCATCTGACTCCATACATAGTTATTAGAATATTATTGACTATATTCCCTATGCTGTACTTTAGACCCCCCATGACTACATTATAACTATTAATTTGTACTTTTAAATCTCTTCACTTTTTTCACTCCTCCCCCTCCCATCTGGCATCCATCAAAATGTTCTCTGTATCTATGAGTCTGTTTTTATTCTGTTTGTTTATTTTGATTTTTAGATCAATTGTTGATAGATATGTATTTATTGCCATTTTATTCATATTTTTATTTTTTTTCTTCCTCTTAAAACCCTTTAACAGTTCAAGTAATACTGGTTTGGTGGTGATGAACTCCTTTAGTTCTTTGTCTGAGAAGCTCTTTATCTGATCTTCAATTCTAAATGATAGCTTTGCTGGGTAGAGTAATCTTGGTTGTAGGTCCTTGCTTTTCATCACTTTGCATCTTTCTTGCCATTCCCTTGTGGCCTGCAAAGTTTCTGTTGACAAATCAGCTGACAGTACCTACAAGGTGACTTCTTGTAGGTAAATAACTGATTTTCTCTTGCTGCTTTTAAGATTCTCTTTTTGTCTTTAACCTTTGGCATTTTAATTATGATGTGTCTTGGTGTGGTCTTTTTTGGGTTCATCTTGTTTGAGACTCTGTGCTTCCTGGACTTGTAATTCTTTCTTTCACCAGGTAAAGGAAGTTTTCTATTTTTTTTTTCAAATAGGTTCTCAATTTCTTGCTCCCTCTCTTCTTCCCCATGATGCAAATGTTGGTATGTTTGAAGTTGGCCCAGAGGCTCCTTACACTACATTTTTTAAATTTTTTTAAAATATATTTTATTGATTTTTCACAGAGAGGAAGGGAGAGATAGAGAGTTAGAAACATCGATGAGAGAGAAACATCGATCAGCTGCCTCCTGCACATCCCCCACTGGTGACGTGTCCGCAACCCAGGTATATGCCCTTGACCGGAATCGAACCTGGGACCCCTCAGTCCGCAGGCCGACGCTCTATCCACTGAGCCAAATCGGTTCCGGCTACATTTTTTAAATTCTTTTTGCTATTTTGATTGGGTGTTTTTTGCTTCCTTATATTCCATATCAATGGTTTGATTCTCGGCTTCACCTACTCTACTGTTGATTCACTGTAAGTTATTCTCTATTTCAGTTAGGGTACTCTTCATTTCTGACTAGTCCTTTTCATGTTGTTTATGTTCTCAGTAAGTTCCTTGAGCATCCTTACAACCATTGTTTTGAACTCTGTATCTGATAGATTTCCTGCTTCCATTCCATTTCATTTAGTTCTTTTTCTGGAGATTTCTCCTGTTCTTTCATTTGTGACCTATTTGTCTCTGCATTTTGGCTGCTTCCCTGTGTTAGTTTCTATGTACTAGGTAGATTTGCTGTGTCTCCTGGAATTGGTAGTGGCCTTGTGGTAGTAGGTGTCCTGTAGGGCCCAGTGACTCAGCCTCCCCAGTCACTTGAGCTGGGCATTCCAGGTGCACCCCTGTGTGAACTGTCCTATTATAGTTGAGCCTTGATTGATGTTGGCATCACTGGGAAGGATTGACCCCCAGGCCAATCAGTTGCTAGGATCTGCTGTGACCACAGCTGAAGAGCTGCTGTGCAGAAGCCAACCTATGGAACAGAACTTGCTTCAGTGGGGCTTTGGTGCTCACCAAGTCCACCCCTTGAGTGTGTCATGGTGGAAGTGGTGGGGTTTAATTCAGTGTGGTCAAAGTTGACCACCAGGTGCACTAATTTTGGGGTTTCCTGGAAGGTGCAAAGTCAGTCACTACCTGTGCCCTGCCTGGGGCCACCCAAATACAAAGCATTCTGCAGATGGCCATTTGTGTTGGGCTTGGAGAGGCCAAGCTGTGAACCAATGTGCGGAGTCTGGGGCCACTCGTGGAGAGGTACAGGGCATGCTGAGGCCAGCTGCTGCTTGTTTAAGAGATTTTAGGAAAGGCCAAAATAGGCAAAAAAGGCCAGTTGTATGTAAAACCCACTGGAAATGGCTTGGATGAGTCTGCAAGTAGGGAGGGGTGGGAACTCTGGGAATCACAAGGTTGGGAGGAAAAGTGTGAACCAGATTGATGGAGATTCAGATATGGTGCCCACCTGCTGTCTCTGTGGCTGGGAGCATTCAGCAAAGGAACACTGGCCTCTGCCAGTACTTCCTCAGGGAAAAGTTGCCTCTACAGCTCTCACCCTGACTCCAGACAAGTTAGTTCTTCCCCGAGTGCCCCAGGTTCCTTTCAAGCTGCTGCCCCAATGCTGGAGTTCAGAGGAGTGAGTCCGAGTAAGTCCAGGTATGGGCCTTTTAAGAGGAACTGCCTGGGATTCCCGCAGCCTGTGTGTCACTCAGCCACAATCCCCGCTGGTTTTCACAGCCTAAAGTTTTGGGGACTTCTCCTTCTGACAATGGAACCCTAGGCTGGGAGACCTGGTGTGGGGTAGGGACCCCTCGTTCCTCAGGGAAACCTCCACAGCCAAGGTATCCCTCCACATTTTAAACTGCCACACATGAGTGTGGGACCAACCAGTTCCCCTCCTACCAGTCTCGATGTGCTGCTGCTTTCATTCCCTACTTGTAGGACTTCTGTTCAGCTAAATTTAAGGTGGTTCATTTCACTAATGACATAGGTAGCTTAGAAAAAAAAATACTAGACTCTAAAAGATAAATACTGGAGGGAATTACAGTGAAAAGAAATTATGACAGAAAAGAGAAGCCAAGATTCGCGATGAGTGTCCAGTAAAGAACCACACAGTCTTACATCATTGCTGGGGAACAGGCCATCAACTTCACAATAAGTTTCTTAGCTAACAAAGCAAGACAAGAAACTTGTTCAATTACAAATTACAATGTCAATTTCCTAAAAAAATTAAATGCAGATATTTGAGCCTAGTCTTGAAGGAAGTTTTGACAAGCAAAAGTGGGAAAGAGTATTCATTCCAGGAAGAAAGTGTGGTGAGAACCAAGGCATGATGTGTTCCTCAGAAGTGTAAGGAAGCTGTTTCGCTTCATTAAATCACTTAACAAATATTGGAGTACCTGTTCTATACCCACACTCAGCAGTACAGGCTCATAAGAGTGGTAACTACATTCCCGGTTGCTTAGTAACCATGACTTACACATAGAAGGCGAGTGTATGAGTTAGTGAGTAAATAAAATGTGTGCAGCACTGTTGCTGGGGGTGTGACATTCACAGAACACAAATACAGAAACAAATAATACAAAGTTATTAAGAACTATAACCAAGGTTTTCTAATAGAGATCATTGTTTAGGGCTGACTGTGGCCAAGCACTGTGCTGATGCATGGGTGTGACAGGCAGAATAACAGGCCCCAATTACACCCATGTCCTAATCCCCAGGATATATAAATGTGTTGTCTTACATGTCAAAAGGGACTTTGCAGATATTATTAAGGGTACAGACCTAGAGATGGGGAAACTTTCTTGGATTAACACAATGTAATCACAAGGATCCTAATACGGGAAAGAGTAGGCAAAGTCAGACATTGCCTTGATTTTAGCCCATTTCAGACTTTAGACCTCCAAAACTGTACAATGATATATTTGGGCTAAGCCACTGATTCTGTAGTCATTTGTTACAGTAGACACTTCTCCATTATTTTCCTTTTGCAGAGGAGGCAACTGAATCTCACAGAGGTTAAATTACTAGCCCAAGGTATTGCAAAAAAAGTTTTTAATATCTCAATAATTTAAAAACTGCTTACATATTGAAATATTTTAGATATACTAGGTATATCCTATCTAATAACAGACAAACATGGTAATTGACCGTACCTTCGCTACGCCTCCCATTGGCTAATCAGCGAGATATGCAAATTAACCGCCAACAAAGATGGCGGTTAATTTGCATACGTAGGCGTGAAGTGGCGGAGCGAAGACTGAAGGCGGCTCTGGCTGGAGCAGCGAAGGCTTGAAGGCGGCTCCAGCTGGAGCGAAGGCCTGGGTCCCGGGTGCCGGAGGAAAACCGGTGCCGGCAGCCAGGGTAAGGGAAGGCCTATTGCCCAAATCTTTTCGTGCAACAGGCCTCTAGTATTTAAATAAAATTACTACTAAAATTAATTTCACCTGTTCCTTTTTACTTTTTAAAAAAATGTGGCTTCTAGAATATTTTAAATTACACATGTGGCTTGCATATATTTCTAATGTACACTACTGGCCTAGAATCTCTTTCTCAATAGTTTGAATTTTATCATCAATCTTTGGATTTTTTTGAGCAAAAGACATGTGGTTTAGGAATATCATTCAGGAAGCGGG